GAATGGATACATTACAATACCCAAATATTATAGCCCGCTTGAAATTTAGCAAATTAATTTCAACAAGTAAAAACCATTTACATAAAATATAAATCTTAATAATACCTTAACCATCCAAACAACAGGAACACTCTTAATAAAAAAAATATAAACTATTTTATATAAAGTTTTATACGATCTAATTTGATGTTGACTGCACAACACTCCCTCGAATAAATTATTTGATATTAAATATAACTAGATCAGCTGCATTCACAATCAACAAATGGTAGATAACTGCCATTCATATGTGTGGTCCCAGTGACCACGCTTCACATTGAAAAAAGTAAAGTGAGGACATTTTTTTCTACCAAAAAAAAAAAAAGTGAGGACATTTTTTATGATATGTAATTTAAATCTTAGGTGTGATACTTTTCGCTCTCTTGAAGTAGATATTAATATTATCAATATAATTATAACTTAAAAAAAAAAAATATGGCTGTGCGTGTAAATTAAATGTCCGTACACCTCGCAAAGGTCAAAAGAAGCTGAAAAAGTAGACATAATTTGGTGTTGACTGCACAACACTCGAATAAATTATTTGATATTAAATATAAATAGATCAGCTGTATTCACAATCAACAAATGGTGGATAACTGCCATTCATACGTGTGGTCCCGGTGACCACGCTTCACATTGAAAAGCAAAGTGAGGACATTTTTTATGATATGCAGTTTAAATCTTAGGTGCGATACTTTCCGTTTTCTTAAAGCAGATGTTAATATTATCAATATAATTATGACTTAAAAAAAAAAAAAATGATGCATGGCTGCCAACCGGGTCTGTAGTCCAATTGGTTAGCCCTCAAGTTTTAGGGATTGGGTGAGGTGGAGGTCAGGGTTTTGAACTCTGCCACCGTCGTGAACTCCACTAATTTACGACCTAATGGTCGCACGCCTCAAATGACTTTCCTGAAAAAATTTCAGCTGCTAACAAACTAACTCTATAACTTCTTAACCATCTACCTGGTCAAAAAAAAAAAAAATGATGTATGGCTGTGCGTGTAAATTAAATGTCCATACTCCTCGCAAAGATCAAAAGAAGCTGAAAAAGTAGACATAAACTAACAAAGAATTCAACTTGGA